GAAGATGACAGAGAACATGATTGGTCACTTGATGAAGATTTCCAAGAGCAGCTTTCATTGTTCACTCGACAATTCAAGAAGCAGTGGATTCAGAAGAAATCAAATCAAAGACATGAAGGCACCTCCAAGGGACTTCCATCAAAAGATGCTAAGTATAGAGAAGCCAAATACACAGAAAGCTCAAACTATATGAAGAAGAAGGGGCCACAGTGTTTTGAATGTGGCGGATATGGCCATATCCAGTCTGAGTGTGCCAACAATCTAAAAAAGAAGAGACAAGCTTTCAAGGCAACTTGGAGTGATGATGAAACTGAAGATCAGAGTGATTATGAAGAATCTAACTGTGCATTCATTGCAAATGTTGATCTAGGTGACGAAGAGAGTCTTGAGGAACAACTCAAGGATCTGCAAGAAAAATGGTCAGAACTCCTGATGGTGAACAAAAGGAATGTCACAGACAAAAACAGACTGATGTCAGAAGTTGATGCTTTGAAGGAAAGAATTGACGGACTCACCAGGAAAATTGAAGAACTTGAAGGAGAAAAAACCAATCTGCTATTTGAGATAAACCAACTAAAGTCCTATCAAAAATGGATCAAGGTTGCTGGAGCAGAGGTGTTAGATCATCACTCGATTATGGCAAAATCTCCTGGAGACATGACATGCATTGGATATACAGATAAAGGAAAAATGCCACAATCTCTTGAAGTCAAGTTTGTCAAAGCTTCTGAAGTAACGACATCCGCCAGCCCACATCAGTCCAAAAAGAAGCATCAAACACTCTCATACAAGAATCCCTATCATCATTACAGATGCTATAACTGCAACAAGTGGGGACACATACAACGCCAGTGTGGCACTAGATGGAGCAAGCGATGGGCCACTAAGCGGTACAAACAAATCTGGATACCAAAACAGTCTGCCTCTGTGGCCAACACTTGCTACCGGGTCACTCGAGATCAATGGCTCCTAGATAGTGGATGTTCACATCATATGACAGGTGACAGAGAAAACCTCATTAACATCAAGACGCTTGAACAAGGAAGTGTTCGTTTTGGTGGTGGAGCACAAGGAAAAATAGTTGGCAGTGGCACGCTCAATGTATCCGGACTACCACCTATCAAAAATGTATGGTTAGTCCAAGGATTACAGGTGAATCTGCTTAGCATAAGTCAAATATGTGATCAAGGGCTGGAAGTATTTTTTACACAACAAAAGTGCAGAGTAAGAGACAGAAGCAAACAAGTGGTGCTTGAAGGTGACAGAACCGCAGATAACTGCTATAAAGTAACCCCAAATGTTCTCTGCTTCTCAGCAAGTGAAAAAGATGCAAGGTTATGGCACTATCGTCTGGGGCATCTGAACTATAAAGATCTTGTAACTCTGTCGAATTCAGGAGCTGTGAGGGGATTACCAAAAATTAT